CCTATGTTTTTCACCTTCCTTTACGCTTTTTCCTAGATCTGCTCCTTTCCCTTTCCAGTAGCTCATGTGCCTACTAAGAGAGACTGTGTTAATACTAGGTAGACATAGTTGATTCTGGGCAGAAGGACTGTTTAGGGTGGAAGGTGAGCATGAGACTAGAATCTAATTTATGGCTCATATCAGGTGTGTGTTAAGTCACCAATGAAGTGCAGACCTAACAGACTCCTAGAATGAATCTGTAAGACTTAGAAAGGAATGTATTTTTCTCCTCCATTGCCATTATCTTTTGAATTGGATGATTCATCTTAAACAAAATCTTTTGTAGAGCTCCTAGCTAGGCACCCTTCTAGCAACTACAGCGAATACAAATAAGCACATAAGCTGGTTTTAGAGGACCAGAGCACTGATTCTCCTTAACTTTGGCTACATACCAGGCATTATCTAAAGAAACATTAAAAAACAAAACAAATATATGTTCTAGCATTAACCCTGGAGATTTTGATTTAATCGGTTTCACGTGGTGTGGGACCCAGGAATCTGTATTTTAAAAGCTCCACAAGTGATTCAGATGTACATCTTGGCTGATAATCATTGGCTAAGGGCAAGGAAAGAATTGCAGGACATGAGAAGCTCAAATAGAATCTATTAGGAGGCTCCTTTGTGTGATTGTTGACATTGTTAAAAGTGCCATAAGCAATAATACCTAGAAGGTACAGATGCTCCTTGATTTGTGATTGCATTATGTCCTAATAAAACAGTAAAAATACAGGTTGAAAATGAAATACCCTAATAAACCCATCGCAAGTCTAAAAATGGTAAGTTGGATCATTGTAAGTTGGGGACCATTTGTATCAAACATAGAATCAATGGATTATACAGTAGGAAAGTGTTATGCCCTAAAAATTTTATTTCATTGTATCCTTTTTGAATAATTGGATTTAAGAAACTTTTCTCTTACTGTACTGTGTACTTTTATTTTTCCCTTTCCTATGGTGCCGAATTGTACTAAATACTTTAAATTTCCATTTTAATTTATTTATATAGGATCCTGCTGGCCACTTTCATCAAGTGTGGTATGATAACCCTCAGAGTATTTCTTTAAAGGCAACATATATACAAAACTATGGCTTACGGGGCATTGGCATGTGGAATGCAAATTGTCTTGACTACTCTGGAGATGCTGTAGCCAAACAGCAAGCTGAAGAAATGTGGGAAGTCTTAAAGCCAAAGCTGTTTCAGAGATGAACGTCTTTTGTCAAACTAGTAAGATTTTTTAAAATGATCAGTATAAACAGATCTAGTTTCTTGCATTTTTTGTTATGTTGCTATACACTTTAGTTATTGGCATACTAAAAAAAAAAAAAGAATAAAGAAATGTTTTGATTGTTTGAATTAGAAAAATACATGTTAATGTATTTTTCCAGGAACATAAAAGCAAGAAACAAGTCAGCTTACTTATTAAATATTCCTCTATTAGATCTTTCAAACTATAATTAGGAAAAATTGCTCTCAGAATTTCATTATGCCATATTTCCCTTCATTATAGTAAAATATATGCTTATAAATCTATGCCGATTTTTAAAATGTGTATAATTTGAAGTGGAAATTGTTTGCTTAGAGTTTTAAAAACCGTCTTTGAAAAGCATTTTGTGCTATACTTTTCCCCCAAACTCCTAATAAACCTTAAATTTAAAAACTACAATTTAGTGTCTCCTCTTTAGGTGCATTAACCTGATGAAAATAATTTTTCTGGCCAGGCGCGGTGGCTCAAGCCTGTAATCCCAGCACTTTGGGAGGCTGAGGTGGGTGGATCACGAGGTCAAGAGATCGAGACCATCCTGGTCAACATGGTGAAACCCCGTCTCTACTAAAAATACAAAAAATTAGCTGGGTGTGGTGGCGTGTGCCTGTAATCCCAGCTACTCAGGAGGCTGAGGCAGGAGAATTGCCTGAGCCCAGGAGGCGGAGGTTGCGGTGAGCTGAGAGCGCGCCATTGCACTTCAGCCTGGGTAACAAGAGCAAAACTCCGTCTCAAAAAAAAAAAAAAAAAAAAAAAAAATTTTTTTTCTGCTTCCTGACTCCATATAGTATTATGTTCTCTGAGGTACTTGAACTAAACCTCTGGACAATGAGAATTTAAAAAGAATCCAGAAGATTAAATGTATTCACAAAATACAAGAATGTAACAGTAATATTTTGAATTAGTAAGTTAGAACTACCTAATATTTTCCAACTACATTATTTTTATGAGGTTCATCTGTAAAATTTTTAGTAATAACTTGGAGTTGAACTTGATTCTATTCACTCTCACTTATACTTCTAATTATTCATATTCCTTCATTTATAGACATATATATTCTTGGCTAATTTACATGGTTAAATTTTTTTCCTACATCTGCAATGTATCTTTTTTTTTTGTAGAGTCAGGATCTCGCTATGCTGCCCAGGTGGGTCTCCAACTCCTGGGCTCAAGCACTCCTCCTGCCTTGGCTTCCCAAAGTGCTGGGATTATAGGCATGAGCGGCACTGTACTTTTAATGATCTAAAGACACTGGTTAGATTAACTACTTCTCTTTCTAAATGATCAATTTTATACAAATAACTTTTCTAAATGTAATAAAGTCTCTGTTTTCTTTCTCAAGGGAATTAAGAACAACACTGTGCTGCCCTTATTAGTTGCTAATTACAGACTGAAAATCTGTATCTTTGAACTCTAGATTTACATAAATCCTGGCTTCCCTGCACATGTTCCCCCTGTAAATTGGAATAAATGATGATTGAACCAGCTGTTATGAGGATATTACATTTCCTATTTACGCAATTGTTTATGAGAGTAAAATCAACCATTTTCATAGCATATGTTGGATCACTGTTGTCTTCATATATTTAAAATAAATGAATTAAAAAATTTAAATTCTTAGAGGCTAATCTGTGTCATAGCTCAGAATGCAAGTTCAATACCCCCTATTCTATTTCCAGATTTCTTTTAAGATATAATGAACAAAGTCTTTATTTTCAAGCAAATATATTAGTATTAATAATTTATTCTTTGCCAAAAATTTTGTAGTCATATTAGCTCTTAAATTTTAAGATTATTAGAAATGAAAATTATAAAATATAGTACTGTGAAATAATACATAAAAGACTTGGAATGTTAAAAATAACCAGTCATCATTTTTCTTTATATTGCATCTAGTATTTCCTGAAACATTTTGTGATACCTACATGCAAAATGCAGAAAGAGAATCCTTATGCTTTATATAAAACATTGCCAAGGAGAATAACGGTTAAACAAATCTGTACAAATAAATATTTAAATGTTTTGATAAATAAAAGTTTTAAATTAATGTACCTTATTGAGATTGTAGAGACGTATTAATTTTTTTCTGTGCCAGTTCAGTTTTCAATGTGCGTAAATCTGAAACTGCTTGTTTTCTCCTCTGTAAAAAGAATTACTTTTCAAAAAGTGAACTTCATCATACCCTTCTAAAAGTACATCATAATTGACACATAAATAGGGTTTTTGTAACTGCTTTAATTGTCTTCTCATTTGCCTTCAATGCTTTCATTCCCACTGGATTGCTACAGTAAATGTGTAGATTATGAATGCTGTTTAATAAACATGATTATCTACTGGCTAGATATGCTATAAGATAACCTTGTTTATGAGTATATAGGGACAATATAATTGAGCTGTTCTAAAAACTAGAGTGAGAAAGAATTTTATGTTTTGCTTAAGATTCAAAACCTGTTGTTCTCAATGTGTAAAGAAAATAGTGAAAACAACAAAATACAAAAATCCCCTTAGGATTTTTGTATTTCTAGCCCTTAGGAACTAAATATTTAGGAAATACAGTATTTATTCTGTGGCAAGCACTGTTCTAAGTGTATTAACCTCTTTTTTTTTTTCCCCAAAATTTTGCAGAGTCAGATACTTATTAATGTTTATCCCCATTTTACAGTTGAAATGGAGACGTTTAGAGGCTAAGTAACTTGCTCAGCATATAAAACTAGTAAGTGAAGTGGGTACAGCCAGGATTCAAACTCAAACCACCTGGTATCAGATCCAGTACTATTCCAAGTCTTGTTTGTGAACCAGCAGTATTAGCATCAATTGGGAGCTTGTTGGGTATGAAGAATCTCAGGCTGCATCCAGACCTACTGAGTCAGAACTTGCATTTTTAAACAGTATCCTCAGATGATATCGCATTAAACTTTGAGGAGCACTACTTATATGCTGTACTATCTTGAATAAATATGGTTGAAAGAGACTCAGGCTAGTTTTGTCCCTTAGTTCTGAATCTTGTAGGTAGTGTTGTTTTGGGGAGATCATTCAGAAATCAATAAAACTTCTTATATAATGTCTGTTATGTGTCGATCAGGCACTATGGTTAAATATAGGATGTTTTCCCCCAGCCCATAGGCTGAAAACTTTGTTCTCTTTTTTTCTCCTATTTCACTTGTCTTTACTGTTTTTGTACTAACAATTCTAATTTGGGTTCAAATCATGAGTGACATTTATAATGCTAAAATATACAAAGATTATAGGATCTAATGTACATGCTTTCCAGAAGAAAACAGCATAAAGGGAGTCATAATCCGAGCCTCTGGGGGCATTTTTATTACTCCTTGGTACCCAATTATTGTTAAGTATACAAATTTACATATTGGCTCTATCTCCATATATTGAGTAACACAGTTTTCCTTCATTGAACAAATTATTTTTTAAGTGCATATTTAACTGATACTTTGTTAAAAATCATTCTCTGTTCTTTTCCATTTTAAGTTTTAAGCTTCTCAGTGCTGAGCCAGGGCTTATATAGCCTCGAGAATGCTGCTTGTAAAAATAATCTAGAACTGCACTGTCCAGTGTAGAAGCCAATTGCCATGTAACTAAACTTAAATTAACTAAAATTAAATAAAATTTAAAATTCAGTTCCTCAGTCACACAACCTACATTTCAAGTGCTCAGTTATCAGTTAGTGACTAGTGGTTATCAATCTGACAGTACAGGCATAGAACATTTTATCATCACATGAAGTTCTATTGGACAGTGCTAAATTCTATTTTTTTATTTTTAAATTTTATTTATTTTTATTCTTATCTGAAACCAGGACAGTTCTAATTTTCTTTTTAAAAATTTTTAAAAAGAGCTAATTCTAGAACGGAGCCACTATTCTGTATCATAAACCTGTTTCTGATAAAGAAATGAGCGTATTCATATGATTATTTTTATTTTTCTGGCTTGTATGGATACTTGTGTGAAAATGTATAATCTTCTTCTGTTTTCTGTTCAACAAAAAAGCTTTTTAAGACATCTGTACTTCAGAGATAATTCCTATGATGTAGTTAGTTGTACACAATTCTCACGAAATAAAGTTATGCCCAGAAGCCTCTACTAAGCATCTGGTATACAAAAGGTTCCATGAAAGAAACAGTTTACTACGGCATAGTCTCTGCCTGGAAGGAAACTTAACATCTAGTAGAAGACACATTATTCATATTTAAATAATATGAATTTAGGAAAATCATCAGGAAAAATGTAATCTGATTAGGAAAAATGTAAATTACCTTAACTTCTATTATGAGTTTCATTTTGTCAGTATCCAGTTTTCGCTTAAGCTGGTCAATTGCATGCTGTACCTCAGTGATCTGGATTATAAGGTAATTCTGTATGGATAGACATTTATTTAGTGTAACATATAAACATTTATTTGTAACTGCCTTGTGAACATAAACTATGAAATGATAAATATCAAAAGAGCAAATCATGAAAATAACCTATTCCATAAAGTAAACTAAATTGCTTTGGAAAAATTATTTGTTTCTGTTGATTTCTTGCATTTTGGGAAACATTTTCTCTAAAGTTACCGTTAAATTAGCACCATAAAAACCAACAACTATTACTATGAGAGGAATAATATCTTAAACTCATTTAATACAAGAAAACCTATTTAAAATAAGAAGACTTTTTGGTTTTTGTCCAGAAAAGTTGATGAGTTCTAGTGGTCCTCTCTAAAGAAGTTATTTAATAGTTTTAAACTGCCTTTGTGAAAAAATTCTCATATTGAACTTGATAAAACAGTGAGATAAAGTATCAGCTATGCTAAAAAAAAAATGTACCAACTGTTATGAACAAATCATTACTTGAGTCTATTTGGGTTTTAAGTTTATTTAAAATAGTAAACTTTTAACATTTCATCTTGTCTAAAGTTAAATCCTTACTTTTAATTATAGTTAACATATTTTAAAATCACTTTTGGATAAGTGGGATTGATCCAACCCAAGTCAAATTGTTAAATGGCCTCTTAAATTTTTTTTGTTTGTTGTTTAATCATATGGTGGAATTAATAATAAAATAAACTTCATGTCTCTGATTCAAGGCTGTCTCAAAAAAAAAACTGATCAAAATTTCATAATTTCTTTAAATTCCTGGGTGTCATAACCCAACCCGCCACTACCACCAAAGAATAGGACTATAGCAGACAATGTTAGTCCCCCGCCCTACTTCATCAGGTATTCATCTCTTTCCCACAGTCAGGAAATGGACCCTGTCCCAGATTTATCTCTGTAGGTAAATCCTAATTAGTCTAAGTCAGTCAGCTTATAGCATTCCTTGGCAACTATTTTTCTCATCCAGGGGTGGGCATAGTTGATCCCTTATTCAGGATAAAGGGAAAGATTTATATATTCCACAATTCAGAGAGAGGTTTCTCCCTTGTTTGGGATATAAAGCCCTACTTGCCATTGACAACTCTATTGCTACCATTAGAAAAAGAAGTCTTACAATGAAATTAAGATGAAAATATAGGGAGGAAATATCAGGCCCCCTTAAAGGCAACAAAAAAAGCTGCTGACTGTATCTCCTCAGCAATCTTCCTCCTATTACATAACGTCATGAGTTTCTTTTCTTTCCTTTTTTTTTGAGTCGGAGTTTCATTCTTGCCCAGGCTGGAGTGCAATGGTGCAATCTTGGCTCACCACAACCTCCACCTCCTGGGTTCAAGCAATTCTTCCTCAGCCTCCTGGGTAGCTGGGATTACAGGCATGCGCCACCACGCCCAGCTAATTTTGTATTTTAGGCAGAGATGGGGTTTCTCTATGTTGGTCAGGCTGGTCTCAAACTTCTGACCTCAGGTGATCCGCCCACCTTGGCATCCCAAAGTGCTGGGATTACAGGTGTGAGCCACCATGCCCAGCTGAGTTTTTTTTTTTTTTTTTAATTGTTTAAGCAAGTTAAGTCAAATGCATCTTGTGATAATACTACATAATAATACTAGTACTTATAAAGCATGTGTTTTGAACAGAACTTCTCTAACTTCTCTATTACTATTACATTTAGTAATACCTTACGGCCTGTGATGCTTGCCAGATTCTTTGGTCTCATCTTGATCTCCCTGGCTTCAAGTTGCATGAGCAGTTTTTTGTAGTAGAGTTCCAAATCTTCTCGAAGGTTTGTTAAAACCTCCTCCATTGATGCTGTGACTTTCTTTGTTTCCAAGTATTTTTTCTTCCAACCAAAATAGGCTATTGAAAAAAAAAAAAGAAAGCAAAGCCTTTTGAGTATTAAAGGATTCGATTTTTCATCCCCAGAGCCAATATCAATTTAAACCATTTTCCTCTTTCTCTCCTCTTCTCATCTCCTTATATACTGAGGACATTAGACCTGAGGAAGACATGTTTTTTTTGGATAATAATAGAATTTGTATAGAAATATTGTTAAAAAAAATTTTACAGTGATATAGATACTATAAAAGTAATATATCCAAAAGTAATACATTTAATAGTAATACATATTATAAAAGCAATATATATACTTGTTATATATAGTAATACATATAAGATATAAAACTATATAACATATATAACATATATATATAACTATAAAAGTAATATATATATATTACTTTTTCCCATGATTATAGAAAATTAATCCACAGATTAATCATTAGAAATTAAATACTACCAGCCGGACGCAGTGACTCACGCTAGTAATTCCAGCACTTTGGGAGGCCAAGGCAGGGGGATCACCTGAAGTCAGGAGTTTGAGACCAGCCTGACTGGTATGATGAAACCCTGTCTCTACTAAAAATACAAAAATTAGCCAGTTGTGGTGGCATGGGCCTGTAATTCCAGCTACTCAGGAGGCTGAGACAGGAGAACTGCATGAACTCAGGAGGCAGAGGTTGCAGTGAGCCAAGACTGCGCCATTGCACTCCAGCCTGGGCAGCAAGAGTGAAACTCTATCTCAAAAAAAAAAAAAAAAAAAAAAAGAAAGAAATTAAACACTACCAGTTTAACAAACTGCATTGACACCAATCAGATTCTAAATACAAACTTAATAATAACACAAACTATATGCCAGTATACCAGAATCTGTTTAGTTTTTTTTTTTTTAGGTTATCATAGAAACAAAAATCTATATAAAAAATTATATAGCTAAATGGAACTTTAGCTCAAGATTTTGGCTATTTATCTCATGCTCTATTATCTAATCCCTTAGCAATCTGTACTAGTATTACTGCCAAAATACTTCTAGCATCTAGCACATTCCACCTTCTTTAATGCTACATCGTTAGTCAATCTCATTCTCATCTTTTACCAAGAAATCTGCATTATCTTTCTTTTTCTTTTTTTTTTTTGAGATGAAGTCTCACTGTGTCGCCCAGGCTGAAGTGCAGTGGCGTGATCTCAGCTTACTGCAACCTCCACCTCCTGGGTTCAAGCAATTCTCCTGCCTCACCCTCCCAAGTAGCTGGAACTACAGGTGTGTGCCACCACACCCAGCTAATTTTTGTATTTTTAGTACAGATGGGGTTTCACCATATCGCCCAGGCTGGTCTTGAACTCCTGACTTCATGGTCCGCCTGCCTCAACCTCCCAAAGTGCTGGGATTACAGGTGTGAGCCACCATGCCTGGCTGAAATCTGCATTATCTTTCTAACTGATCTGTCTGCTTTCATTCTTGCCCCTGTACATGCTATTCTATACAGCAGTCATTTTGATCTAAAATATTTTTTTAATTATAAATCCTAGCTCAAAATCCTCTAGTGGCTTCCTACTTTGCTTAGAATAAAATCCAAAATCTTTGATTTGGCCCATCTATTCCTTGCTGAACTTTCTGATTTTATCCCTGTCTACATTCCTCCTTACATACCATGTTTCAGCAGCACTGGTCTTATTTCAGGCCCTTAATACCACAAGGTCATTCTCATTTCTTGTCCTGGATATTTAGTGTTCCCTTTGTGCCTACCTCCCTGTTAATCAAATCTTAATCTTCTCAGAGATACTTTCCCTGAAAATTCTACCTAAATCATCTCTTTTCTGCCTCATCACTCTTTACTATGCTCTTTTTAATTGCATTCTCAGCTCCGATCAAAGCTGATATTGTCTTACTTGTTTACTGTCTCTTCCCACTGAGAAGCAAGCTCCTTGTGGGCATGGCCATGTCTGTCTTGTTCACTGCTGTATCCCCAGCAGTTAAAACAGTGCCTGGCACATAGTAGGCTCAATAAATATTTGATGGCCAATAAATACCTTTATCTTGAAATATTCTTGTTTAAATAGGAAGTGACAAATCATTCCCATTTCATAAATAGAAAGCGTGAGGCACAAAAGAGGGGAAATAACTTGTCTTAGTGAAAGGCACATCTGGTGTTACAATCCTGGTCTTGTAATTTTTAGTCCATTGTTCTAATTTGTCTGATAAAGTTGCTTTTTTAACACTACAACAAAGCTGACTCATTGCCACCACTTTCAGGATTATTTTGAGGCAGAATCTTCAGAAATATCTCCTGACATTGTCTATAACCTTCAGTCATTCTAATGCTGAAACAATTTTGCTGTAAATTGAGAATCCTAAAATCACTTAATTCCACAGATACCTTTTATCCTTACAATCCTCAAACACAACGCAAAACGAAGCCCTCTCAAATCATTTAGCAACTCTCGAGCCACCATCATGTACTGTCTTCATCCTGGCTCATCTTTCTATGTCCACCAGTCCTAAAAGCACTGTTGCTAATTGTACCGCAAGAAACTTACTTAACTTCCCTCATTCACTCACTTAAAAGCAAGGCACACACACACCCCCCAAAAAAATCAAGTACAGAGGAGTCCAAAGTACTCAAAGTAGGCTTCTAGAGTAAGTGATATGCAAGCTGATCTTGAATGACTAATAGGAAACAGGCAGGTAAACTGGGAAGAGGGGACCTTAAGGTAAGAGAAGTAGATGGGAGAGGGAAAAGCACGCCTGAAGACTTAAGAGCCAAGAAGCATACTTCAGATCCTAAGTATATCCAACACTTTTCCTGGAAGCCTGTCTTGATCTCTTCCATCTAATTTAGCTGTTCTTCCTTTATATTCCTATCCACAGAATTCTGTAATTCCTTTATCATAGTTTTCACCAGGATGTATCCTTGTCTCACTCTGTCACTCAGGCTGGAGTGCAGTGGTGCAATCTCAGCTCCCTGCAACTTCTACCTTCCAGGTTTAAGCCATTCTCCTGCCTCAGCCTCTGCAGTAGCTGGGACTACAAGTGCCTACCACCACGCCTGGCTAATTTTTGTATTTTTAGTAGAGATGGGGTTTCGCCATGTTGGCTAGGCTGGTCTCAAATTCCTGACCTCAAGTGATCCACCCACCTCGGCCTCCCAAAGTGCTGGGATTACAGATGTGAGCCACTGCACTGGCCAGGATGTATCATTAATGCTTAACTTGCTTATCATTTCCTCACTGGACTATAAGATCTATGTGGGCAGGGACAAGATTGTGTCTGTCTTAATAGTGTCTCCTAGTGGCCAGATTCAATAGGCATGTGATAAATGAATAATTAATAAACAAGTAAATGAGTTTCAGTTATGAAAATATTCGAATTTTAATTTTAAAACCCTATGTAAAGCATTTATTATATAGAGTTGAATAATAATTTCATGTTTTCTATCTTGAACTTACCTCAATCATGTACCACTTAAACTAAAATAGTAAAACAGTAAATATTAATTATAACTTTATTATTTATTCTAAAAGGATTAATTCTATAAAACTTAAGTTTTCTTTATAGTGATAAAAGGTATATTAACTTTACCATAATACCGCTTTAATTTGCTTTGTTCAAATAGCTTTTCATCTGTTTTTACCAGTTCTTCTCTATTTCTTTCCAGATACCTTCTTTCTTCCTTTACTTGTTTCATTTGTTTGATAATCTTCTCTCCTAAAGAGATTATAACTCATATTTATCAATGTCTCAAAGCTGAAAGATGGCTCATATCCTAAAATATGGAGTGTAAAACTTAAAAATTTCTAAAGCAGCAAGAATAAATTTTACCCCAAACTGTTTTTCTTGCTACAGTATAGCATTTATCATGTGGAAAATGCAGAGAAGTCATTTCAGTTTCTAAGAGTTATATATAAGGGGATTTATAAAATAGTGTATTTTTTCTGCATTTACATATATGTGTAGAAACTTGGTAAAACTCAAGTAGTTATGCTGATATTCTTTGGTTTAACTCTTTTGGTAAATTCATCTGGGATTCAAAATTATTGTACTTAAATCTTACACAGCAAATGTATATTTTAGAATATATATTTTAAAATGAAATAATGTTGGTGACTAAACATATGTAATAATAAATATAAAATCCCTGGCCAGGCATGGTGGCTCACACCTGTAATCCCAGCACTTTGGGAGGCTGAGGCGGGTAGATCACTTGAAGCCAGGAGTTCAAGACCAGCCTGGCCAAGATGGTGAACCTCTGTCTCTACTAAAAGTATAAAAATTAGCCAGGCATGGTGGTGCATGCCTATAATCCCAGCTACTTGGGAGGCTGAGGCTGGAAAATCATTTGAACCTGAGCAGCCGAGGTTGCAGTGAGCCAAGATCATGCCATTGCACTCCAGTCTGAGCAACAGAGCCAGACTCCATCTCAAAAAATAAAAAAATAAAAATAAAATTCCTATAATTTAACTTCTTTTATTGTAGTGAAATATATTACATAACAAAATGTACCATTTAAACTATTTTTAAATGTACAGTTCAGTGGCATTTAGTACATTCACATTGTTGTGAAACTATCATCACCATCCATCTCCAGAACTTATTTTCTCAAATTGCAACTCTATACCCATTAAACAACTTCCCATTTGCATTATTTACTTTACCTCACAGAATCATCTGTACTTATGATTGTACTATACTTACTTTCAGTTTGTAATAAAGAGATAGCAGTTATTTCTGAAGGAAGAATAGGTTGACAAGGAAGTAAAGGGTGATCTGGTAAGGTGATGTACTCTTTTTCAGCTATCTGTAAGCAAATATGAAAATGAGTAAGATCAGCTAGTGTGTCACATTCTTTTCTCACTTGCCCATAGGTATTTGGTAATGCATACCAGCAATGCATTCTTTTTATTCAGTGGTGATGAACTCCAAATTTTGTATTTATAACTACAGATTCTCTCCCATGTTCCAGTCTCTGTATTCTACTACTTGGTCATCATATACAAGCACTTCAAACTTAAAAAAAAAATCTGTTATTTTTCTTTCTAAACATGATTTCCTTCCAAGATTTCTGGTCTCAGTTACCTGTTATGATAACTTTCAAAATTTTCTAAGATGGCTATTGATATTTTTTTCATTTTGAGCCAATTTTGTTTATTTATATTTGCTTAGAAAATTGGTAGTTCTGTCACATATCAAAATTTTAGCAGAGAATTTTAGGTTTTATTCTAATATCTTATCTCCTCTGTTTGTGTTTCTATTGCCTTCATCTTTCCTAATTTTTGTGTCTTTACCTGATATTATTTGGATCTGTGTTCCCATCCAAATATGTCAAATTGTAATTCCCAAGTGTTGGAGGTGGGATCTAGTGGGAGGTGACTGTATCATGGGGACAGATTTCCCCATTGATGCTGTTCTCCTGTTAATGAGTGACTTCTTGTGAGATCTGATCATTTAAAAAGTGTGTGGTACCTCCCCCACTCCTTCCTCCTGCACCAGCCTTGCTCTGCCTTTGCCTTCCACCATGACTGAAGGCTTCCTGAGGCCTCCCCAGAAGCAGATGACGCCATGCTTCCTGTACAGCCTGCAGAACCATGAGCCAATTAAACAATGAAATGGCTAAAGTGCAGTGGTGCAATCTTGGCTCACTGCAACCTCTGCCTCCTGGGTTCAAGTGATTCTCCTGCCTCAGCCTCCCAAGTAGCTGGGACTACAGGTGCGCACCACTACACCCAGCTAATTTTTGTATTTTTAGTAGAGATGGGGTTCTACCATGTTGGCCAAGAAGGTCTCGATCTCTTGACCTCATGATCTGCCCACCTTGGGCTCCCAAAGTGGTGGGATTACAGGTGTGAGCTACCACCCCTGGCCTAAACCTCTTTTCTTTATAAATTACCCAGTTTCAGGTATTTTTTTATAGCAGTGTGAGAACAGACTAGTATCTACCCTTTTCTGATAAATTACCTCAAGCCTTATCATGTTGATATTTCTATCACTATCACTTTATTGATCGTTTTCAATTATGCTTCTGTAACTCATGTTTTCATTTTTATCTTCATCAAGCTCTCACTTCTATATTGTTTATCTTATAGTTAGTCCCCCATTATCTTTAGTTTCACTTTCTGCGCTCTTAGTTACCCACAGTACAGTACACTAAGATATTTTGAGAGAGAGAGACCACATTCACATAACTTTTATTACAGTATATTGTTATAATTGTTCTATTTTATTATTAGTTATTTCTGTTATTGTTGACTGTGCCTACTTTATAAATTAAACTCTTCATAGGTATATATGTATAGGAAAAAACAGTATATGTATGTATGTGTGTGTGTGTATATATATATATATATATATATATAGTATATATAAGGTTCAGTACTATCTGTGTTTTCAGGCAACCACTAAGGGTCTTGGAATCTATCCCCATGGATAAAGGTAGAGTACTGTATTATTTTTCTAGCTTATTTATTTCGTTATTTATAGAGTTGAGCTCCCACAGGATAATGGCAGCCACCTAAACTAGAACTGCTCTACAAATCTTCCAAACTACCATAAAACGAAGCCAAGTAAAACCACCCAAATTTATGCCTACAACATAACTTGGGCACAGAATCCTTTACATATAAGTGAGGAAATAAAAACTTTAGACTAGAGTGTGGTCAGGAGCCCACATCTGAGCAGAGAGTCAGATATGGACTACGTGTCAGCACTATACATAAATAACAGGAAACATCAATCACGAGTTAGCCTGAAAACAGAGGGCTCTAGCTGAAGTGGAGAAAGAGCAAAGTAAAACAAATCTGGTAGATTCTATGAGGAATTCAAAAGAAAGGATTTGAAAAATACACGGAGTCACAGGCAATAATCATGGGAAGACATAGCTTCTGGAAGAGAAGAAAATGCTTTGGAAGGGAGACGTATCCTTGGGAGCCAGTTTGGAAGAAAAAAGAAGAAAATGGCCAGGATAAGAGCTCCACTGAATTAAGCTAGTGGAAAGGAATCCCAAGAAAATACCCCTTTCCCCAAAAGGCTCCATTTACTTAAAAAAAGAAACATAAATGACTGCATTTCACTATGGCAACAGAAGAGGGTGCTCCTGATTTAAGAAACACAGTAAGCCACCAAAACACCACTTCCTGTTCCTCTATAAGAACATCTGTTATTACGGATAATGGAAAAATCCAACGCAAATAAACATGAACATCTACAAAATAATCTAGCATTCACACAGTTACTTATGAAGAAAGCCTCAAAACTGAGCAGTAAAATCAAAACACATCCAGAGAAAAACTTAACAATGCTCCCAACATAGATTAAATATAATTAAGCATTTGCAGATAATGAACACCATAAAACAGAAATTTTAAAACTTATAATAAAATGGAAAAATAGGAAGGTATGAAATTAAGATTAGCCAAACTCAAGAAATAAGAAAAAAAAAAGTCTCAGAAATGAATTAGCAGGTTTCCAAGATGGAACAGATATGACCAAAAATATAGTAAGAAAAACATAGAATAGAAATAAAAGGAGCTAATATAATGAAACATAATGAAAAGAGTAAAATGGATGAGAATGAAAGTGGCAGATATAAAAGTAAAAAAGATCTAAGATAAGACTAATTGTGGTCCCCAAAAGAAAAAAAAAAAACAATGAAACAGATCTATTTAAAATTATACTTTTAGAAAACATTCTTGAAATAATTTCCGATTTTCATATGGAAAGAACTCACTATGTACCTAGAAAAATCTGACCTACAATTCTCAACTGAGATACATAGCCTGCTAAAACTATTACACATTAAAGGAATTCTCCAACCTCCCAAGCAAAACTAAGATAGTTTAGAAAGAAAAGGAAATTAAGTTGGTATCACACTTCTAAATAGTAACATATAAAGCAAGACATCAGTAGTGCAACATTTAAAAGAAACCCAAGGGAAGTCAGCCAAGGATTTTATAGCCAGTCAAGCTATCCTTCAAATATTAAAGTTTGAAGGCTCTAGAACAGTGATTAGCACACCTTTTCTGTAAAGGGCCAAAGAGTAAATAAGCATGTGTGGGCCACATATGGTTTCTGTCATATTCCTCTTTTTTTTCCCACCTCTTTAAAAACAGAAAACACATTCCTAGCTCACAGGCCTTACTAAACATGATGCAAACCTTAGTTTGCCTATCCTGGTTCTAGAGAAAGTTTTAAATGTGAAAGAACTAAGGGAATATTATACTCAGGCCTAGTATAGGTTGAGCTTCATCCAACCAAGAAATCATTGAAAAATCTTCTGCAAAATAACTGGCAGTTAACTGTTAAACATATTTATAGTTCTGAGACTAAAACAAAGGTGAGGGGATAAGACTAAGTGAACAGTACAAAAATGTTATATTGTTTGACAAAGTAGAAATAACACCACTGAAAATAAATGAGAAGAAAAGGGAGAGAAAAAGATGAAAGTAGAACAAGTTTTCTGATTGCCTCACATATAGCAAGGAGGAGTCAGAGCATAATTTTAGAGGCAGCAAATTAAAAGCAGAAGCATAAATTTTTTTAAAAAAAGGAAAAAAAGAGGGGCCAAAAATACTAGCATAAGTGAATTACTATAAAGATAAATATTAAAACAAAAATACAAATCTTCCTAAATACCAGGATGAAGAAAACCCCAAATATAGTAAAAGACACACAGTAAATATAAAGTAAAATAACAAACCTGAGACTAAACATATCAGTCATATCAATTATGTAAACGGACATAACTCATCTAACTAAATAAAAAAGATTTTCAGACAAGCTTACAAAGCAAAACCCAACTCTAGGCTGTATATAAGAGATATATCTAAAACACAGTGACTCAGAAAGGCAGATAAAAAGGAGGGGAGTCAAGAATGGAAATATATCAAATAAATGTAAACAAAAAGAAAGCAGAGTATTTTCACATGCAGTAAAGAAAAATTCAGGCCAAAAAGGCATTAAATGAACCAAAGAAAGATGCTTCATGATGCAAAAGTAATAATATTCACATAAGAACAACTTGGTGCCAGTAACACATAGAAACACATAAAGCGGAAACCACAGGAGATGTAAGCATAAATAGTAACACAGTAATAAAAAGAGATTCTAACATACCATTCTCAGTCTAGACTAAGACTTAGAGAATGTGAAAAAAATGAAGAATATGGAATACTTAATGTATTCAGAAAGGTAAACCATAGACAAGCCACAAAACAGAGGAAGACATTTGCAACACACGTAAGCATGAAAGGACTATCTTCCAGGGCATATTAAAAACTCCTACAGGCCAGGCACGTTGGTTCACGCCTGTTATCCCCGCACTTTGGCAGGCCAAGGTGGGCAGATCACCTGAGGTCAGGAGTTTGAGACCAGTCTGACCAACTTGGAGAAACCCTGTCTCTACCAAAAATACAAAATTAGCCCTACATGGTGGCACATGCCTGTAATCCCAGCTACTCAGGAGGCTGAGGCAGGAGAATTGCTTGAACCCAGGTGGTGGAGGGTGGTGAGCCGAGATTGCACCATTGCACTCCACCCTGGGTAATGAAGGAAACTCTGTCTAAAAAAAAATTAAATTAAAAAATCAAAAATTCAAACCACAGTTAAATAGCATTAAGCATCCATCAGAGTGCAAAACATTTTAAAGTGTGGAGATAGCATGTATTATTGAGGATGTAGAGTAACAGGAAATGTTTTGTATTCCTAGTGAGAGTGTAAATTTGTATAATCATTTTGGAATACATTTTGGCATTATTTAAGTTATAGGTAGGCATTTTCCAGCTGTTCTCCACATAAGTATTTATT